TTCCTTTACCTTGTGATATCTCCATTTACTCATCTTGCTATCTTTGCGCTATTGTTGAATGACACTGTCAATTAGTCTTTAACCATGGGGAGTTTCTATATAGACTCATGTTCAGTACCAGCTGGATCGAGACTGCCCAAAATCATTTCACTCAAGAGTACTATAGCCAACAGAGAGAATAGATTTACATACCCATCATTCTGGGCTGGATTCAAACTCTAGTCCCAATTGAGAAAGGGCAGTTTTCTAACCCATTGCACTACGCTGTCCTTGTCGTATGTTTTGTTAATCTCGTACACAGTGGGGATTAGCAAAACCGCACTGACTTGATTTTGAGGTCAGTTTTAAATTTGACTGACTCAGCCCATTGAACTCAAAGACGGCTCTGTACCATTATAGCTCCAAAGTTAACAGTTTGGCTCCACTCCATGTATTTTTTTTCATCAGTTCAGGTTTTGATTTCTTGATGAACAGAGAAATCTGGCATCTGGTAATGAATCCAAACTCAGCCTGATTGAAAAAAACAAGTGCTGGGTCGGTTTGACATTTGCACCTGGCAGCGATCTCAGCTCCACTATGTGGTATAAAAATACCTCACTGGTGAGAAATTAGAACTGGAATTGAATAGTTTGGAATTGTCAACACAGCTTTTCTCAGGGCATCTGCTATTACTGAAACATCAAGGCAAACAGAATCTCTTCCTGCTACACTCCTGTAAGCATTCCATCATTTTGCACTTTGTCTTGGAGAACATCCACCTACTCTGTTGTAAACTTTGAAACCTTTTTTTTTGAGAGCTCATCATCCCTATTCAATTTCCCTCTCTGGCAACTAGCAATTCAAGCATGATCTAAGGAGACAGGACACAAAACATTTATGGAATGGCAACAAAATGTCTCCCGATTCCTTTCCCTTGATATAATGTAAGTAAAACTGATAATCTCTTGTTACAACAAGCTATATCAATAATATATGAATTTTTGGGGGGCTGGAAGTTTATTCCTACAAATAAGACAATGCACATTTAAACAATGTCAGGGATTTGTCTAGCTAGTGGTGCAAGGACCAGAAGCCAAGATGTATGCTTAAAAGCAGGATCTAAAAAAGTACAATTATGATAATTATTTTTATTTGGGGTTATTTTTTAAAAGTTTTTTTGAGCACTAATCAGAAAGCCAACTCGAATAATTGTGTTTTACCATAATACTTGCATTCCATATTGGAAAATTGGCTGTAGTTCAGCTTCATGTCAACCTTGTGCAGGATTTGTTGTGGAAGGAGAGAGAGAGAGAGAGGAGCACCAAGAAAATTTGTTCCAGACCTAAAGGTTTAAGGGGAGCCCATAAAATGGATCTAAAAACAATTGCTTATTAGACATTGATGGTTTCCCGTAGTGTAAAATTCAATAGAATTTTAATATAGCTAACAGGATCTTAGATTTGTAAAACTGTTTATGTTTGCCCTGAGTGCAATATAGCTTTATATCCAACAAATAATTATTTTATCCAGTGTAAGTTCCATTTTCATAGGCACCACTTACCCACACCTTAATCCACTACTACTTCAATGATGGAAACATTACGTTGAAAGCAAATATTGTAGTCTCTTATGGAAACCTGCAATTACAGTATTGGTCTATATATTCTAGGGATAGTTTTAAATATACCTCTTAGTGGAGAATCGAGTAAATATCCATAATTTTAAGGGCTTTACACGTAAACAGTTTTTAAACAAAAATATTCATTATGGAGCTGAAAAGGATATTATCTTAAGAATACTAAGTCTATACGCTACGTGATACCTTTGTATTACTTGGTATGTGATGATTGTCTGCCAGTAGCACAACTAAATTGTAGGATTAGAATGTTTCTGCCTCCTCCCTGTGTCAATTTACTTTAATTTAGAAGCTCAGTATAAAACACAAAACTGTAAGATCCCAGGTTTGATTTCCCCTGCTAAGCTGAATTAACTACTGTAATCGCAACTAGGGTACCAATTGGGCAGCTCAAGTTAGCCCCAACCACTTCAGCTGGGGCGGGGGAGTAATCAGCCAGGAATCCTACTCTTGATTGCTATCTAGTCATCCTGTTGGAAAGTGTGTGTGTGTGTAAATGTTAGGTGAGCATAGGATCCCAAATGGTTGTGATACCCCTATGGTCAAACAGCTTGCCAACAACTACTCGCTAGACACACAGACTTAATTATTTGGTGGAGGTAGCTAGAGGCATAAAACTCTGGTCAGGTCCATGCTATTTTGAAGGATCAGATTATTAGGTTTACCTTACATTTTATCAGAAGGAAAGGAATTGGGAGACATTTTCACATTTCCAGCGCCCAAGGGTGAGAATCACTGGTGCAAAGAAAAAAACACATGTGAACAAGTTGAACAAAATAACTTGCATTTTTTTTCTTTTGGTATGGATTAAAAATGCCTTTTATCTTCACAAAATACACAAATTATCAACAGCTCCTTTAACTTTCTGCCAAACCTGAATCCCTTTGGTCACATTATTAAAAATCATGCATTAGCACTAATATATTGCTTTCATGATTTGTGATGTGTTCTATATCCTACAGTTGTGTTGTAGCCTTATACCACACTCCCAGCCATCCATTGTTCTCTCCATAATCAACATGGTGTAGGGCCCACCTACTGCATTGTCTACCTGTTGAAACAACAATTTATATAGCACCTTTAATATAGAATGAATGTCTCAAAGTACTTCACAAAGACAATGGAGCTCTTGAGCGTGGAAGAAAGAAAACTGTAAATTTCATGCCCAAACACATTACTGTACTTTTCTTGCCACTTTGGGTCAGTGGCAGGTCAAGGGGCATTTAATGATTACTAACCGCAAGATTGTTTCTTTCATAAAATGTGATTATTGAGGATTACCATTTTTGGTGGTTTCAAATGTGCAAGGCTTCGGGGTGATGGGCGGGGGGGAGGATTACAAATCTGGAACAGTGCTAACCTTGTCCCACAAATAAGAAATACAGCTGGTTTCTAAAGACTCTGAGAGTTGTATTTAGTTTCTCAGTTAGATACTAGTTACCGAGTGCAATGTATTCACGTGTGACTCTGCTATCCTATTGCCACTCAGCTCTCCTGCGGTGCAACCAGTCAGATGGAAGTGTTCACAGCTCCCTCTAAATGGGCAATGTAATCAAAAACTCCACAAAATTGTAGTAGCAATCACTGTTGAAAGTAACTCACTTATGCCATTGTAATTTTATTACACGGTGGTTCATTTTGAAGGTTTCTCTGAAGAAAGTAGCAGAATGTAATTTCAGAGCAAATGCTGTTGTCTTCACTTTGGGAACTGAAGTTGACAGCAGAAAAGTTCCACTCATAAGTTCAAGATGAAAATTTTAGCAAATATTATTATTTAATGGCAGATGTATTGTATATCTAAGTTGGTATTGAGTAATGTAGGAGAAAGACTAGTTGCACATAGTGTGTATATGTTGGATGTTTTATCATCTCATATGCTGCCTTGCTGATACCCTAATTCACAGCACTTTGTAAAGTCACATGATGGGTAATGCTGTTAATTAGTTGAAAAGAATAGCATAAAATAAGGGGTTGGGTGATTCTAAAGTGGTTTGTAAAACCTGTAGATTGTAGGAGGAGAGAAAAACTAGGAGTTAAAGAGTTCCATAGTCTTGAGATCCTAAGAAAGAATGAGTTAGAAGTGTATTGACTGCCATCAGAGGTAAGAGAAGGTCGCTTCTGCTTAGAAATACAAAAAGACAAAAAAAAGCTTTGAGGAGCTGAAAGAAACAACATTATGTCTGTGTTTTACAGGGCATGCATTAAGGTAACTACTGTGCTGAAGCGAAGCAATGGTTGTGGGTACTGAGGGTGTGAAATGAGGGTATATATCGAAATGGTGAGACTAAAATTATACGTGTTTATGGTACTAGAGCAGAATGGAGCAATGGGAGAAGATTATTTGTCGAGATCATAAAGATAAGAATTACAGAAGAAACATGTGCCAAAGAGGATAGTTTTCTCTTTTGCTTTGAAAAGTGGTGTAAAGAAGGATTAAAATAAGTTTTGAGAGAAAGCTTTGTTGAGGGATCAGAAGGAACAAATGCTAGAGGGGCAATTAGGAAACCGTTGCTGCTTCTTTCCAAGAAAGCAACATTTAGCAGCTCTAATATTTTGCTTACAGAGGTTGTGTGTGAAGATAAAGTCAGCTTGGGAATCTTCAGATTCGTTAAGATGCTGCCACTCTTACCACATGAAGAAATGAGATTCTGAACCTGTCCTCTGGCAACTTAGGAGAGGCATTCATTATGAGCACCTAAGTCTCCAACAACAATGATTTCAACAAAGGGGAATTTACAATAGCTGGATTTGATTTTGTTCAGTAGAAAGTTGAAAACTTCTGAAGAATTCAGTGGTTGGGGAAGTGGTAGATGCAGCAGATGGATCAAAATATTAATTTACCGAATTACTTAGGTAGTAAAAAAATTATAGTCCCAAAATTCCATTCACTTTTATTTTCGTATGAAAAATTGATCCAGATGTGACAATTTCATTACACCTCACTCTATTGACAGTAATTGTGCTATTGCTATAATAGAAGTTATCCCAGCTTAATTAAAAATATAATAACTTCCGTAGTTAATACTATTTCCAGCTGATTTTCAAGAGAGGTATAGGATAATAAGCAATGTACAATCTTATGACTTACTTGTGCATTTAAACAATGGCACTACACACCAATAGTGAGCATTCGTTGCCTACTTTAGCACATATTCTGAGATGATTAAAACCGCAGCAGAAATCAGATTACCTGCTTACTGGAGATAGAAAATTAAGCATGTGTAGACATGTAATGTTATAAGAATTGCTAGTAAATTAATTTTTGAAGCAGCCTATTATTTATCAAATATAGTGTGTTTTCTGAGGTCTTTGGGGAGTTTATTGAAGTGCAGGTGTTTAGCGGTAAAAGAGTTAATTTGCAAAAATTGCACCTGCATCTACTCACTTGACTAGGATGCTTTCTGCCAGCAGCCCAAAACAAATAGATGCTGCCTTGAACAAAGAATGGGGTGGTGGGTTGTCAAAGGCTGTCATCATCCTGTACACAGTGAATGGCACAACAGCCATTAGGCCCAAGATGACTGCAAGAAGCATCCAATTCTGCCAGCGGACAGCAACGAGCATCCATGCTGAGCCATTCTGTAGGTGGTACTGTGAAACACAAAACAAATATCTTAATGTGTTGATGCTATGAACATAAATAGCCTATAGCCAAAGAATCAAGACAGCAAAACACAAAGCAATAACTCACATCTGGTGACTTCTAATTATTACTGCAATTCATTTTGCAAAGTTCAAATAAAATTATGACTGCAAGTACATATTGGTTTACACGACTCTGCTGGTTGTAAATCTAACCAAATAGTATCTTATGAGAAAATAAAATATTATACATGCACATTGGTATACATCATTATATATTATTAAACCAGTGAGGCCTGGTGTTTATTATATACAGTGTTTATATTTGTATTCTACAGTTTTCAACCCTCTAGCGAAATGTTAAATCTTTTACAGCAGACAATGTTGTATATTAACCCATATTTTAAAATGAAATTATATTTGTTGCTCCGTTACATGATATAAAGTAACCGGAATTCGAAAGAGTTGTTTTTACTAAACTATCTTGTTAAATTTGCGAAAGCTTTTGAATTCATATTCCTAGATGTCATGCACAAAATGTACAGTGGTCTGGTCAAGCTGCACCTGGAGTACTGCATACACACAAAGGTAGTACAGAAGAGGACAATAAGACTGATTCCCAGTGTTAGATGAGCTATTAGAAACAACTACTTAAGCTAGGAATCTTCAAATGCAAGTATTCTTCTTATTATTATTCATTATTATTATTAATGAGTATTTCTTTAAACCGAGGCTATGAACAGCTGCAGGGATTACCTGGATAGGTGACAGGGACCATAATCCTTAAAATAAAAAAAAAGCTTAATCCTGTAAAGGCAAAATGGTGCCGTGCCATTGGTATTCTGGAAGGATTAAATGAAATGGGTCAAAGAGCCTCCTACATCTAAGTTCTCTTGTGATATTATAGGGTTTCTAGCATTAAGAAAACGCAGAAGGACCGGATCAGAAAATGTAACATCATAACAGAAGAGTTATGGGTCAAGCTTAAACCCTACAAGACCTCTTGGTCTCCTAACCCCCTAAATGGACACTGTAAACCAATTTCAGAATTACACAGAGAGTGAGAAATTTCTCTTGGCGTGAATAATTCGCCAATTCGCCAATATTATTAATATTTATTAATAATTATTAATAAATAATAATTTATTATTATAATAAATGCATATCACTAACTTCACATAGTTCAAGATGAAATTCTAAAGCAGAAAGTTACCATGGTCAGTTGCCTTTGTATACAAACGCAATCATTTTTATAAAAAANGGCTATGATTTAAAATGATCTTATTCAAAAAATTGTTCTCTGTATTTTGATTCCATTGCAACAATTTCCTGTTGTAATTTTAGGGTTTTAAATCACTTACAGTGAACAATCCAAGGCTTTCAAACAAACTTTTAGTGTTTATCATCAATGTTTCCAAAACTAGGTAGTTAAATACATTGCAAAAACTAATAATGCAGAATTATTGGCTATTTCCATGGAGCATATTTCAGAATCTTTCCTCAGTACTATCCTCAGTTTTAGACCCTACATTAAGTTTTATTTTTAAGTTTTGTGTACAGTGGTTAAAGGTTTTTTTCACAGGATTTGAAAATGATATAGAAGATAAAATGGAATTAATAGGCAGTGGTCAATGAGGTTCAAACACACCTGTTTGCAGAAACTAAAATTCTCTTGATCTTAGCGTTAGAACCATGTAGATAGAGATTTAATAAGAGGAACTGTACCTCAGTGTAACAGGATTATCTTTTGTCTAAGAGACAGCCATTTATGGCTAAAGGCAGCAATAGCAGATAATAATAACAATAATAATAAAAAATAAACTTAAAAGCAACACTGTATATCCTAGTTCCTACCCATTGTCTAATCTGCCATGTTGGTCCCTTCTACAGCAGCCTGCAACATATTTATGCCAATGTACCAACTATAAATCAGCAATGGTCTTAAAGCAGCCTAAAATGAAGGAAGTTAGAAAACAAACAAATGGTGCTATGAAGCTTATCTGTTAATGAAGTTTTAGGTTTTTATGGTCATAATAATGTGGACAATTTTTAGGCTGCAAAAAAAGCAGCCTATATAATTTCGCTAGGATTTTAAGATGGGTTATGTTATTTTACTTTTCAAATTCCATTATTAACTCTACATATGTAAAGATAGGATTTCAGGCCCTATGTTTTAAGGTTAACAGCATAACATATTTTGGGCTTTAGGTCTTATTATCTTCAAATCCATTTCTGACAGAATGTTGGATCTGCATTTAACCTGTATTCACTGCTTACTACTAAAACTGCTTTCACTTGTGTGCATTACCTTACAGCACAGTTTGGCTTACGCTTGGGCACCTTGGGTCTGTGCATCAACTCTCGTGTGAAAACTGCAAGCAAAACCGCTGTGTGCTTCCTCTAACAGAGATTAAAGCTGGAGTTTGCATAATGTCTCAACATCATTTAATTAGTGTCCTAAATTCATTTGCAATGCACACTGCACATTGTAGGCTGTTGTTCGTGAATTCGTTTCTATGTGGCAAGAGCCGTCAAGCTATCTGTGATTTTTAATGTAACAGCGAGCCCCAGTAATGGCTCACTGATAAGTGAATGCATCTATCTTCATTACCTGGTCATTTCTGTTTCGGTTTGCTCTACTGCTCGTAAAGGATATGTCTATGTGAACTGCACAATCAAGCCCTCATCCAAAGCAGATTCAGAACTTTCACTCATTTATTCTTGACTTCTCTTAATTAAATTTTATTAAAAATGCAATCGTTCATTATGACACATTCCTGTGAAGAGGGGCATTGCTCACAGGGAGATTTACTTCATTTCTGCTTTATCTATGCAGCCATTATTAGCATGAAAGAGAGCAAGTCAAAAGTGCCTTTTCATGTTTACTCTCCTTTATTGAATAAACACACGGAAACCAGAACAGCATTTTTTAAGGCACAGTCAGACTTCATTAACACTGATCCAAGCTGTGCATATACTCTAAAATGAAATATTTTTCTCAAATGTATTGCATTCTGGCCATTTTTAAATCTAAAAGTATTCACACTTTCTATTAATGCAATAACATTTAACTCCATTAATAGTCATCTCTGTCACTGCGCTCTAACGAATAACCATTGAATAGAACATCAAGTGCTTCTTATAACCCACATTAAATATTGAAGTCATTTGCAATACAAGGTAATGAGATCTGACTGCAATCCTTCCAAAGTTTCAACTTTAACAACATCACAACCTTTTTCTAAGCAGGATCACCCAGTGGCACTTTCGATGCTAAACTCCACACATTTCATAACTACTAAATAAATAACAAATAAGATTAATGAAATTGGATGTTTGACCATCTAGCAAACATTAGCACCAAGCCATTTTTCTGTGGTATCCAAAGGCCACAGCACGGTATATTACTCCTTAATCGTTGCACCCAGGATCTAGAAGAGAAATGGCTTTTGAAACAGCTATGTCCTTCATAAAAGTTCTTATATATTGAGTAAGGAGTGTAGGATAAAGATTTTCAAAGCTACCTTAAAGTATAGCCCCAAGATAAACTTATTTTCAAATATGTAATTTGAGAAAATTATATGGATGCAAAAAGATATTTTGGAAACTATGCTGACAACCTGCCAAAATGTGTCAGAAGTTAAGAGGGCAATTTTATGAATGCCAACAATCAGTGTGTCAGATAGCATTAAATAAATGAAGAGATTTCAGGCATTGGTATGTATTTCTTTACATGAATACTCTTCAGCTATAACTCTCTTTCAACATATTATTGGCTTTATGGCCCTGTAGGTCAAGCAAACTATTGAGAGGTCAAAAACTGCGCCAAGAAGCTACAGTATCCACAGAAGGAATGTAATTATGTTTTTAAATTCCTGACCGAGAAAGAAAGTCAGACAAACCTCTTTTGACCTGTAAAAGCTCTTAGACTGAGAGGAACATGAGATCATGGGCAAATTAGAGGCGGCTTTGGTAATTCAGCACTAAGTGCAAGATACTGGCCTAACGTCATTCTTTCTGTTTAATGTTTTATTAGCACCAAAATGCAGACAGTTAACTTGACATTTGAAATGGGGTCCCTACAATTGTTTGAATGTGGGCAACAGTAAATAGCAATCTGTTTATACTATTCCTATTTAAAAAGATGTTGATTTTCCACTTGCCACTATGTTTTTTTTCCCCTTTATTCTCTATTCCATTTGGGCTTGCTTTTTCATTTGGAAAGAAGATGCCTCTTTGACGGATTAGTTTTTTGTAGGATAGGGACAACTATCAAATCTCACAGGTCTATTCTTAGACGGTGCTTTTATGTAACTTTATAAAATCTTATCTGCTGCATTAAACTATGGCACGTCATTGACACCGCAGTTTCTCAGGATCATTTCTGAAAAGAAGTGGCTTTCAGCCAAAGTCAAATTGCAGTTGAACTGAAAAATATACAAGTAGAACTTGGGGAAGAGTGAAGCAGTACTCCATTTGAATCCATAAACTCAGCAAGCCAAAATAAATGAAACGTAGAAACAAAGCAAATTTCTAAAGCTGCTGTTTCCTGTATAGAAGTCAAAAGAGAGACTAAAGTCGAATTTATTGCAATTGTGTCAAAGTTTCCATTTTAATCCCAACATGACCACGTTTGCCCACAAAATACACAGTCCCTCCACTTTTATAGTGTATTCTGTGAAGTGCTTTGGAACCCCTGCCTGGGTTGAAAGGCGTTGTACAAAAATGTACGATTATTATAAGTACAAATCCATAATGCAATTGTGATGAGGATTTTGAAATTAACAATATGTTTTTAACCAACCATTTTGTGTGGTATCTTGCTTTTGTGTAATATTGAATAGAGTAGCTTGAATTTCACTTCTGTGTATGGGAGGGGAGCAGTGGGACTGTAGGCAATAAACAATAATGTGAAAGGTGACTTTCACCAGGGTCTACCTTATTATTGGTACCACATTAATTTCTATCCTGAGGCAAAACCTAATGAGAAGTCTCCCAAACCGACATGA